GGCTGAGACCCAGCACCGCCGAGTCGCCGCCCAGGGTGCGTGCGCGCGGCCCGCCTGTGTTTCCACAGCAGCCCTCTTGCACGCCGCTGCAAGGCGAACCAAACGCCTGCGACGCGCGGGCAGGCGGCCGCCGCGGAGTTGGCGACCACCCCAGTGGCCGAGGGCGTTGCGCTTCGACGACGCTGCCCTCCATCCCCGACCCGGCAGGTTTTGCGCAGAACACGGCGGCTGGGATAGAGGCGAAGCTCTTGCAGGTGCGGCCGATCTCACTCCTGACACTGGCGAGCGTGCGCGCCCCTGCGGCCCGGCGGGCTGGATCGTGAATGCTCCAAACCGTCGCCGTCTCAGCAGCTAGTTCCGTTTGCTGAACCGCGCGCAGCGGAAGTGCCGATGCATGGGCCTGGCGCACATGCCACGAGCCGCGTTGCTGAAAGCACCCTGCATCAGCGGTGGCAGGCAGCGCAACCATATGTGCATCAGTCTAGTGGGCCCCAACACACACGAAAGATAACACTCTCGCACAACAGGCGGCGCACATGCCCACAAACACGCACGCATGTACACACACGCACGCGCGAACAGACACACACACACACACTCTCTCTCTCTCTCTGTCTCTGTCTCACACACACACACACACAACACACACACACACACACACTCTTACGTAGAATCACATCCACGCGCGCGTGCAAACACACGCACGCACGCACACACACACACACACACCTACACAATCTTGCACTTCTTCCCTACCAGCACCGCGCTCTTCAACCGCCGAAACGCGCGCCCTCGCTCACCTCCTGCCTGTTTCCTGCCCTACAACAAACCCCTCAGATCATGGGTCCTGTCCTGGCGCTGTCCTTGCTGGTGCAGGAGAACCCCTCGTGGCCTTACCTGGAGTCCAGGTTCTATGACGTGGCGCAGGAGCTGGTGCAAACAGAGCACGTGCGTCCCGTTAAGAAAGAAGTGTATCATGGGATGGCAGGGATCATCAACGCATGATGTCATGGGATGTGTGGTGAGGTCAGCACCGACTTGTCATCTGCCATCGGCCATCGGGCGCCCCTTTGCTGCCCCCCGTGCGCACCCTAAAGCCACGTCACGCAAGTTGGTGCACATGCCGCTGTCGGACTGCGACGCTTGATCCAGCCTCACCTGTCCTCCTCGCGCAGGCCAGCACTCTCTGCGCACCCGCCCCAAACACATGCACACCCGCCCCCAACGGCGTTACAGCCTCATCAGGTCTGGGCAGACCTCTACCACCCCCGCCAATGTATGAGCACACCACACTTCCAAGCCCCGCCCCTCCTGCTTCCCTTGAACAAACACAACCCAACAACTCCACATACACACAATTCCATCCGAAACAGCCCTCCAACAGAGCGGTGAAAGACCTGGTAGACCTGCGCCTGGCGCCCCAAGGGGTGCTGCGCCTCATCGCACCCAGTAACAGCTCCACACAGGGCGCGGTGGGCCTGGACCTGCTGGCAGGTGGGGCAGGGGGTGAGGATCAGGGGTTTGGGGCGACGGCGGCAGCAGCGGTCAAGCGGGGACCAAGCGGGAAGGGTTGAGATGGAGCAAGACTTTTGCTAGCCCTTATCTGGTATGCAAGGCTGCACCCCACCCGGCGCATGGGAGGCCAATCCAGTCTGCACCCATGCACGTTCCCGCCCCTGCCGTGCCGCAGCTGCTGTGCGTGCAGGCATAGTTGGGCCCCTGCGCCGCTCGAAGCTCGGCCGCGGAGCCGGCCGGCCGTCCCTCACCGTCTGCCTATCCATCCCCCTCCCTCACTCTCCGCTATCGGGGCGCCTTGGCACATGCAGACCCCGTCAGGCGGGCGTCAGCCCTCGAAACGATCAAGGCGGGCGACCTGGCGGTCCAAGGGCCCGTCCAGCTCGAGCCCGAGGGCTTTGTTGGGCTGGCCATGAGGATGCCCATCTACATAAACAACGTATCAGACCCCCGTGAGGCGTTCGGGTGAGAGTTCGGCCGCCGCACCTGGGAGTTTGGCCTTTTGCCTGGCGTCTCGCAGCCGCGCTTGCGGTCCGGTTGTCACCGCCACTGCCCTTGGCCGTGCGGGAGGCCGCTCACCCGGGGAAACTATTTTAGTGATGGCTGTTGTCCCGGTCATCCCTGGCGCATGTTCACTTCCCAGGGCATTTTTTTTTCTTTTTTTTGGCAGCCCCAGACCTTGCAGCTCTGAAGCCCGCTCTGCTGCTCTTGCACATGCCCCTCGCAACGTCAGGGCGCCCAGCGTTGCGCGCAACTGCCCGGACCCCCTCTGGTGCGCCCCAGTCACGTTTTGCCCTGCCCCCTCGGCTGCCTGCGCGCATTGAACAACGATGTTATGTCCCTGTGCGCCTCTGTCGCTGCCCTCCAGGTGCTGCTTACTCCTTCGACCGCCGCCCCGGTCCCGCCCGGGATGCAAACACCAATTCCTTCCCCCCCTCCGCCGCCCCAAAGTTGTGATCTTGTCCATTTCGCATTTGCAATGTAATAAACCAGCTATGACCCCAAGACCAAGACCCGCTTCTGGGGCTTTGCCATATCAGTTTCCAACATCAAGCTATTTACGGGCGGCTCCGAAAGCCAAGGCGCCGAGAGCGGCGGCAGCGGTGGCGGCGGGGCCAGGGCTGAGCTCAGAGCTGACCACACCATGCTTGGCGGCCTTCAGAGCCTGGTGGGCATGCAAGGTAGAGCATGTGCATGCATGTGGGAGGCCCCGCATGCTTGCAGCACATGCAGCTCTGCTTTGAGATTTGGCAGGGCGACGAGCCAGGAGGGCACTTGGCAGCAACCCACGCTTCCATGCTGTCCTGCTGGGGCCACAGCACCCGGCAATCTTTATGGCCCGCTTTTGCCTCTGCTTGCCGGCCCCACCTTAGGCCCATCCTCCACTTTCAGCTTTATACGCTATCCCAATCCCAACCAACTCTATGCAATCATGCATGACTCTCCCGTACGTCATGATTGCAGGGCTATTACTACGCCCTGTTTGTACCCCAGCCCCAGGGCGGCCCGACCATTCGCATGTCACCTTCAGCCGCGCCCCTCAAGGACCCCGTGTCCGCGGTGATCGCCCTGCCCGCCAACGACGGCAGCGCCGCTGACGACACGTGGACGCTGTCGCTCGCCCCCGCCGCCGGCTGGGTCCCCGCGTGGAGGGCGCCGCTGCTGGCGCTCGTCGTCGTTGTCAGCTTTATGCTGGGGCTGCTGCTGCTGGGGCTGATGGTGAACAGGCAGCAGCAGATCTGGCTCCTGAAGCAGCTGAAGGTGCGCATGCCTTGTCAAAACGGGGTCCATGGGGCTGGACCGCAATGTTTTGTTGACTAGAGGGATCCCACTGCTTGAATTGATCTGCATGATACAGCACGATTCCATCGCACAAGTAATGAGACACATGCGTGCAATCACAGAGCTTGCTTGTGCACATACGCGCGCGCACACACACATACACACACACACACGCACACGCTAATACGCAAATGCACACATGCACATGCACATGCACATGCACACGCACACGCACACGCACCCCCCCCCACACACACACGCATACGCATACGCATACGCATACGCACGCGCACACGCATACGCACACATACACTTTGAAAACACACGTAAACACAAACGTGACCACACACGTAAACACATGCACGCGTGCGTGCATCGTCATCACAGGAGAACAATGCACATCTTGCCGATGAAAAGCGTCGCACAGACGTTTTGTTGGAACGGCAATTGCACCTGATTCACCTCTTGGTCGACCAAGGCATCAGGTTCGGGCCAGGTGGCGGCCACGGCCGTCCCAGCACTGGCGGCGGCGGCGGGAGCAGCGCGCAGCGGTCTGGCGGGGGGCGGGACCACCTGCCTGATACGTTGGATACGGCGAGAGGTGCGGTGGTCGAGCACGCATCATGGGGCTCTTACGCACGTGGGTTTGAACGTCGCCTGAGTTCCTGCAACACACAGTGCGCCGAGCCCTGTAGCGCCTGCAGTAGGCAGGGGCTACACTGATTGCAGGCCGTTTCGAAATTCTCTGTAATGAAC